AAATATAAGAAATATGAGAATTTATTTCAGTGCATTGTGGAAAAGTGACAAGAACAAAATGCAAGTGCAAATGTAAAAAAAAATAAATAAAAACAAATAAATAAATAATGATAATTAAAAATGCATTTATGAACGCACATAGAAAAGAGAGAAAGTAGGGATTTTAAAATTGTATTTTTATTTATTTTTTTACACACATCTATTTAGTCATTTTTTCTGACCATCAAGTGTCAGTCACTCTCAATGCCAACTGGCAGGAAAACATGGTAAACATTTTTGCGCCGCAATAATTTCATAGCGCATTACCGTATGGCGCGCTGTGAGGATAATAAAAATGTAGGCTATTGGCTTAGGCTACTCCTGATTGAAAATGTTTTTTTTACGTTTTTTTTAAACAGGTCTATTAATTTATACAGTTGAATTATAGGCCTATAATTAAAATTATTAACACTGCAGTCATCAATGAAAATTAAGATCAGTTTTTTTACTTTCACTTTCTCTATAGTGAATTTACTGACGTTCACTGGCATAACTCTTGCGCAGTTTGCGCGTTGCTTGCTTGTGCTGCTTGACCCCTCCCCCATAATATCAATCGTTTATAGGCCACATATTAGGCATTTTTTTTAATGTTTATTTTTCAATGTTAATGAAAGTGACACCAACAATAAGGGAACATCATTAGGAAATCCTTGGGGGGGCTGTGCCCAGGCTAAGCAAGTTTCTGATGGGCCCCGTCAAGCCCCGCCCTAGCGCCGCCACTGATTAGCCTAATTCGTTTTGGCTTGTTTAGCAACTTATATTTTTCATTCTTGTTTTCTTCTGAAACCGTTCAAAATAGCCTATAGGCTAGGTATTGTGTTTATTGTTTGTATATTATAACATTTCGCTTTATTTACCGGTGTCATTTATGAATGTAATAATGCGGTTTGTGCTTATCTGTGTTTAACCTAAACTAGGATACAACGTAACATTAATGTAGACCTATACCGGTATCTAAATATGATTTTATAATTGTATGCTATATAGACCTACCACATTACCCTCCACTGGGTGTAGAATGAGCAGCAATAAACTACATTTTGGCATTTTATAATACTTCTGTGGATATTTTGGTGAAAATAACTCAAAAGTAACTCAAAAGTAGTGTAACGCATTACAATTCAGAGACAGTAATATTGTAATGTAACTAATTACTTTCAAAAGACAGTAACTAGTAATATATAATGTATTACATTTTGGAAGTAACTTGCCCAACACTGTTTCTAATTAATGCTGTGCAGTTGCTTTGACACAATCTGTATGGTTAAAAGCGCTACATAAATAAAGGTGACTTGACTTGACAGTATCATGATGCGAGCGTGTGGCGGCGCTGACCCAGATCCGGTGTAATGACGTCATCACGCCAGATCTGGGTCAGCACCGGTGCCACCACACACTCGCGTCATGATACTGTTGTGAAAGCGCGTCCAATGTGATGCAGTAGAGATGAAAATGTGGAATAAAGTCGTTATTTTGGTTTTCTTTCCGCAAAAAAGTATTCTCGTAGCTTCGTAACTTTACAGTTGAAACACTGATGTCACACGGACTACTTTGTCGATCATCTTGGTACTTTTCTGGACCTTGAACGGCATAAAATAATTTCCAATTTTACAGATGCATACAAAGAATTAAATTTGTAAGTAATTTTACTTTACAACCAAACGTGTGGATATATACATACATACATATATATATATACACTTGACTATGCTTCCGTTTTTGAGGCCTTTGGTATATGAATGGGTTGCTTTTGTATTAAAGACAATCACCCCTGTGCCACTGCGACACTCGTTTGAAAAATGATGTCATCAAAGCCTTAATGGTAGTGATCAGTTTCTGCTCATTTAGCAGAGGGTCTTTTTTTAGAGACAGATCCACGATTCCAACTGTTACTGTTTGTTCTGTTGTTTATACTTGGCTGGTCTAATGGAGCATGTCTGGATAACGCCCCAGCAGGGACGCCTTTCTCAGCCGTAGGGTGTTGAGGCAGTTAATTGTTCAAGGCATAAAATACCTCTTGAATCAATCCAAAGGCTGGTGTTGACATGCACTGAAAACAACATTGCTGTATAGCATGGGTTGCTGATAATGTAAACTGTAAGATACCACAGTTGTTATTTGATTATGAAGCCTGTGTGTATGTGAGAATACAGCCTGTGAAGACTGACCAAAGAAAGTTCCATCTGTAAGATCCACGTTGGAACACGTTGTCACTCCCAACTCATCACATTACAATCACGTTTGGTCAGGACCCATTGACATCATTTATAATGCACTGGGTACCCTTTAAGCGTAATTTTTCAACATGCAGGGTACCCCATTGCTTTCATCAGTTTGCCTTATGCATCTAGACACATACACAATTCTTTTTATATATGCCTAAACCCATCCATACTCTAAACATAACCACTTCTAAACAATAAAAGACATGTAACAGGCAGATAAAGGTACAGTCACAGATATTTTATTGCAAAAGCTGACCATAAAACAGTATAAAAGTATTATAAACAACTTATGTTGCTCTGAAGCCATATAATATCTTTTTTGTAAGGAACAGGGTGAAAGATTTTATTTTCTGAAAATGTTTCCAGTCCATTAACACAATTTAAAAGATGAATATGAACATTAGCATGATGCAGTCAGTCACAAGACACACGAGAGCCAATGGCACAATAAAATCTAACGTAATTATTTTTCAGGCAACAGAAGGCTTGTTTGAGTTGGGCCTCTCCTTAAGTTGTGTTCGACTTGATGTGATGCTGCGCAAACTGATTGGCCTTTGACTTGAAGCAGTGCTTGCCAGAAATTTTGTCCAACTTAAGACAGTGCCGATGCCATGTGACTCAAATTATTGCGAGAGTGATTGGAGAGCACGCAGATGTTTCATTCTGCGCAGCTTCTCCAGAGTGGCTGTTTTACAATTGGCCAGATTCACAGATGACAGCAAAGCAGCTTTACCTTGTCAAACAGGAAGAGATTTTGTCAATAACTCAAGAGGACAATAACAAAGAGTCATTTTTCAGTTAAAGTCAATTCATTGATGATTCAGTGATGTCATCATCCAGTTCAGCTCTCTTCCAATAGTGTCTGTGCAATCACTCATGTGTCCCCAACTAAGCAAGCCAAAGGAGATGGTGGTAAGGAACCAAAACTCCATCTGTGACAGAAATGGAGAAAAAAACTTTGGGAGAAACCAGGCTCAGTCGGGGGGCCAGTTCTCCTCTGGCCAGACAAAACCAGAATGGCATGGTTTCATTCCAGGCTGCAACACAGGACAGATTGTGCAGAGGCCTCGTCTCGTTCCCCATGGTCTTGTCCTGATGGCTGTCTAGTTGACGAGGTCTTCACAGGGATTCTGTCTCTGGGGCTCATCAAGTTGACATGGTCTCCGATGACACTCAGGGCTGTAGAGGTTGTCTCTAGGTGATGATGGTCTGGATATGGACTGGATCTGGGTGGCTACAGTGACCTTGGAATAAGAATGAAAGAAACTAACATTAACGTAGATGCCATTCTTCTTACAATGTACATTTACATTTAGTCATTTAGCAGACGCTTTTATCCAAAGCGACTTACAAATGAGGACAATAAAAGCAGTCAAAACTAACAAAAGAGCAACAATATATAAGTGCAAATGACAAGTCTCTGTTAGCCTAATGCAGTACACGTAGTAAGGTGTGTGTGTGTATATATATATAGTCTTATTGACCTCACACCAAGGGGGCATTATGAGGTGCACGGTGAGAGCATCAGTGAAGAGTCTTCACCTAATACTCCATTAACCCCCAACCCTACTCGCTTTTTCTTCCACCGACCAGTTAGTGCTTAACGGATTTTTTAAAATCTCGGGTTAATAAAATCTCAGATACCAGTTAGACTGCTTGAAGCGCTTGAGACTTTAATAGGTCTATAATGATTGAAGTATAGTTAAAATGACTGTGTCTGCTTACTTTCACTATGAATGTGCCATCTGTTGAAAACGAATAGAATAATTTTTGATTCATATGATTTAAATGTTTTACAGTCGACAAGATGATGCTGGCCTCCAAGATGTTCTGTACACAATTGAAGAGGTTGTGACAGCAGCCCAGGGACTGCAAGCAGTGTCCACCACACTGAAAGAGCTCATGGATTTAGCAAATTCCAATCGCAGAACAACAGTATCCCTGACAGATGTCGAAGCAGCAGCAGTTAGAGATGCTTTTGCCTGTATTATCTGCAGAGGTTTGTATAATTTTATATGTTATTCTTTAAAATATTATTCAATTGTCTAAAATAATCAAGCCAGTGACTAAACCAACCATTTTATGAAATGGGGAAAAAAAAGATTGATGTGCTAATCTAAACTTTATCAGTACAATTGATTTACTGCTTTCCACAAAGACAACAATGCGCCACAAATGTATCGAATAGTTCTCAAATACTGTACTATTTAAAACTATTTTCTGAATCAAATTTGCAGGTCCAATGAACGAGCCCATGGTTTCATCATGCTGCCAAAGCCTTATTGGCTGCAGGATTTGCATTAAGCAATGGCAAATAAATTCTCCCTTCTGCCCTAAATGCCGGGCTGGCGATTCTGGTAACAACATACAAAGACTCATGGGCTTATCTGATGCATTGGCTGCACTCAGAAACATACTCTTGGCGTAATACTGTATATTATGTAGTAGTATTATCAAACATTGCATAGTTTTACTGTTGTTTTGTTCTTAATCTTCTCAAAATATGCAGTTCTAGGGCACAGTTACATGTGCATCATTCAATTTATTTTATTTTATATTGCACACAATGTAGAATGCTGAGAAAGTTAATATGCAGTCTTGGATTTATACCAATTTTACACAACCCTTTTTTTTTGTGTATTTGTTAGATTTTTTTGAAAGGTAACAAACATTTGTGGTTGAACGATTCTGTAGGACTTATGCAAAACATTTAATATTTATGTTGTTGTATTCAAGAGTTTGAACTTGAAATGTTAAATACAACAGAGTTCTTGGAAAAATAGACTTGTCTGTTTATTCAACTGACATTTGGGCGTAGTGGCAACTAAATAAATGCATACACTTTATCCATTAATAGTATACCCAGGCTGATTTGATAGACTTCACAGTAGATATCTACATGTAGAATACACTGCTTTAAAAAATAAAAAAAATAAATAAATTGATGTCACTTTTTCATACATATCTTTGGGTTACATTTATGAGGTGAAGCAATGCATCCTGAAAAAGGCTATATTCACTATTTACTGTTTGATTGAAAAGAAGAGATGTCTGGATAATTCTCTGCAAAGTCCTGCTCTGCATGACTCCTGTCCTCCTCAGAGGAAAAAGGATCCGTTCCAAAGGTAGACATCCAAGTCAGCGATGATCCCAACTCCTGCTCATACATATTTGCCACAACAGGGGCATGGGGCAGCAGCTCACCTGAAATTTTTGATGGACATCCAGTTGCTGCAAGTTCATTGGGTATTCCACGGCCTAAAACAATTAAGCATGGTAAACAACAGATATCAAAGCAATGCACTGAATGTGAATGGACAGTGATTTTAAAGTGCCTTTTCAGAAAAAAAGATTTTAAAGCCCTGTACAGTATCAGAGCATACCTGGGATCCTGTGTGCATTCCATGATTGTACTACTCTATTTACTCCAATTTGGCTTAATTGGCATACCAGGTTAGAAGTGCAGAATTTAGTCATATTGTCCTCCATGTTGATGACTTCTTGGTCTAGCAGGTGCACCAGGGCCTGTTTCAATGGGTAGTTCACCCGATTGTTCACTTCAGGCCAAATCCTTTCCACTCTAAGATTCTGTTGACCACAAAAAGGAAAATCAGTTACCAATTGAAATGCATTTCTTTTTTCCAAGGACACAAAACAAAGTATTTGCAAGTATATTATTACTTTAATCTTTTAATATTGGTTGTTCATTGTTATCAGCATTTCAAAAACCTTACCCTTGTCGAAGTTGTTTGGAGGTATGGTTGTCTGCTGAGGTTGTGTCTGTGTCTTGATAGCTTCTCTTGCATGTATAGGGACATATAAAATTCCCTGCCATGGTCAACCCTGAGCTGGTCCCACATGCCATAGTTAACTACAGCAGATCTGAAATAAAAAGCTTTAAATTTGTTGCACGTGTACATGACAATTCTGAAGAGCATGACATTCAAAGAAAAGACGATATTTTTAGCACAGAAATTGATTTTGACAGCAATGAGTTTATTTACTGGTTAACACTTCAGTATGGGCAACACATTCACTATTAACTATGACTTTTGCCTCAATTAACTCCTAATTTACTGCTTATTAATAGTAAGATAGTTGTTGTAACAGTTAAGTTTAGGTATGTGGTAGAATAAAAGGATGTTGAATATGGTCATGCAGATTAAGGCATTAATATGTGCTTTATAAGTACTAATAAACATCCAATATGCAAACTAATAAGCAACTAATTAAAAGTGGGAATTGGTCCCCATATTGAAGTGTTAACATTCAATGCTTGTTACTTCCTCTGAACATACTCGCCTGTAAACTTCTTCATAAATCACGAGGTTGTTTTTCACTGGCATTGTAGCATTGGCAACAATTTTGCTGCTATAGCCATCAACTGCCAAAACGTGTGTTACACCGAACATCCCAAGCTTCTCATTTTGATCAAGGTGTAGCTTATGGCCCATATATTCGGCATGATAAGGGACAGGGTTAAGATTACGAGCACCCTAGACAAGGGGAAAATATTTGATTATTGCAGGTTTCCATCTTGGTCTCATAGCTCATGTATTTACAGAATGTTTTTTGCTACAAGATAATTTTTATATAAGTGGGTTATATTTAATTAGGTTCCACCACAAATATTGCAAAGGAAATTTTAAGTAATCATACTTCACTAACATTCTTTTCTTGCAGGGTTAACAACATTTAAATGCTTTTTAAATGGCACTGATAACAAAATGTTTAAGCACTTGTGCCTGTTTGTATGGTGAAGGATTTAACATAAGGATATTTGGATATCATGACCTGATTTGTGGAACAAGTAATCAAAAAAATCAAGATTTGTTTCTGCCAAATAATAGAGGAAGGGGGAAGAATCAATCATAGATTGACGATGTAATTGGTCATGCAACTTTATCATGATTATTATTATTCTTTAATACACAGCACAAGCACAGACGGAGCAAAACTTACCTGTCGTCGCAATTCATGGTATGGCTGATCAATTTCTCTCAGCATTTTTCCGACTCGACTTTCTCCTGCATGCACTCCCAGTGAAGATAGATTCATGCCAGTCATGAACTTGCGGCCGTACGATGGCCCCGTCTATTAAGACATATAACCATGAGATAACGTTTGAGCAATACGATTCTTGTATCCATGACAACCAAAGACTGAGAAGCAAGATATTTAAACAGTATAGCCTACATAACGGGACATTTGACTATAAATCACATTTTTTACATTATCAATAGCCTACAGTTTGAAATTGTAACGCTAGGGAAAGGCCTAACGTTACAGGAAATACATTAAACCCATAAGTGTGAGCTGTTTACACCATCCTGTACAATAAAATGAGCCTGTACAGCGACGGGTCAAATGAACACAAAACACATTTCAATAGCCCACTTTAAGTGTTTATTACAAAAGAATTGCTAAAAATAAATAAATTTAAACGTAAAAAAAAAAATTACATTTAATTGTGCCAAACGCAAAGCTGCCAGTTTCTTGGAGGACTGTGAATTAGTGATGTCCGGTTCGCGAACGAATCGTTCGATTTAACCGGTTCTTCTTAGTGAACCGGTTGAACCAGTTCACCAAATCGGACTGAATCTTTTGAAACGGTTCGCGTCTCCAGTAAACATTAATCTACAAATTACTTAAGTTATTAACTTTTTTTACGTGGCTGACACTCCCTCTGAGTCTAAATAAACCAATATCCCGGAGTAATTAAAAAGTACACTTTAATATCACTAATCAAGCATGTAATTAGGCATATACTTAAAGTGTACTAAGTATACTTGAAGTTGTCCTAGTTTAGCATATAAAATTACACTAAATACACTTAATGTTACACTTTACTATAATTTAATTACAACTAAAATACACTTAGTACAAAAATAGTTGTTCCAAAATAGCACACTTCAAGTTAACTAATCATTAACACACTTGAAGTATACTGACAATTAGTCTGGCTGCAAGTATACTTGGTATACTTTCTTTTCACTAGGGGATAGAATAGAAAAAATAGAAAGCTAGTGTTTGTTTTTTTGTTAGTTTTTTTTTATAAAAAAAAGATAAATATAGATAAAGTAGAATTAAAATAGAATAAAAAGTGCTAGAGTTAGAGGGTCAAATAAAGGTGGAACCTTTCTTGTCTTATTGCGCTTAAACTGTCAAAATTTTTGGTCACATTACCACAAAAATGTCTCCAGTCTAACAGGAGAAAAAGTACTCTCGATGGACACTCACTGGGTCAGTGAGTGTCCATCAAGAGTACTTTTTCTCCACTGTAGTTACCACGTCATCAGAGAGAATTGCGGTTACAGAATACAGTCGAACACCAGCTCGCTGACCAGCCTCCGAACTACTTTAAATGGGTTAATGCAAGTTTACTGAAAAATGGCTTGAGAATTGTACTTGCCCGACAGGGCTAATAGCCTGATTAAAACTTAAGTGACAAAATATAATCACGCATCAAAACGTGCGAATGATTCTTCAGATTTTATTACATTCAGCTTAAACAGCGATTGATAATTGATAGTGTATTTCTATTATCAATGTCGCGCTGTTGAGGCTCGTGCTGCCTGTCTCTGTGAGAGACTTTCATGGAGAAATCAAATCAAATGAGCGTACGGCACACATAAAGAAACTCACAGAACAAACATAAAAAGTCTTAAATTTAACTTGTTCATATCTGTAGACACCCTGGGAGGGAACAGTTAATGAAAAAGACAGTGAAAGTGATTCTGTGCCTCTTTGAGATGGCACAATAATATGCCGTTTGCTTGCAGAACGCAAGCTTCTAGAGGGCACACAACTCTGAAGTAATGAATTTAGGTAAATGGGTGCAGAGCCAGTGGTGGTTTTGTAGGCAAACATTAATATGTAATTTTATAAATGAAGAATGTGGCAAAGTCGTCCGCTGTTAGAGTTGATGAAGGAGGGGGAGGAGGAGGACAAAGGAGGGAGGAAAATGTTTTAAAGAGCATGCGAGAGTTAGGCGAATTGTTAATTTTGTTGTGATAGTATGTCCTTTTAGCAGTTGTGGGAAGTGTTCCCAGTTCCGGTTGACCTAATTAATGCAGCCTAACAACCCTTTGACAGATTTGAATTATAGAAATGCAATGGTGTGTTATGTGTAAGCCAAGTTAAAGAGATAGGTCTTTAATCTAGATTTTAATTGACAGAGTGTGTCTGCCTCATGAACAATGCTCGATAGATTCTTCCAGAGTTTTCAAGCTGTCCACAGTTGATTTTGATATTCTAGGTATTATCAAATGGCCAGAGTTTTGAGATCGCAGCGGACGTGAAGGACTATAATGCGATAAGAGCTCGATCAAGTATTGAGCTAAACCATTCAGGTCATTACAATAATCTAAGCTTGAGGTCATGAACGCATGAATTAACATTTCTGCATTTCACATTGAGAGCATAGGTCATAATTTAGGTATATTTTTAAGATGGAAAAATGCAGCTTTACAAATGCTAGAAACATGGTTTAAGGAAAGATTGCTATCAAATAGCACACCTAGGTTCCTAACTGATGACGAAGGATTAACAGAGTAGCCGTCAAGTGTTAGACAGTGTTTTAGGTTATTGCATGCAGAGGTTCTTGGTCCAATAATGAAAATATCTGTTTGTTTTTGTTTTATTGTTTGTTTGTTTTTGTTGTTTATTTTTATTTTATTTTTTCATTCAAATTATTTGATAAAGTCTGTATGGTGCCCTGGAGGCCTGCATACAGTAGCCAGTACAAATGTCACAGGGGATTTATCATTAACACTTGTTTCTCTGGATAATGTTATTTTAAACACCATTACTTCAAACAAATTATACTTGAAAGCAGACTTCTAAAAATATTGAAAATATTACTATAATTTGTAGCAACACCTCCCCCTTTACCATTTGGACGTGGCTCATATTTATAACAGTAATCTTGGGGGGTAGACTAATTTAAAGTAATGTAATCATATAGTTTTAGCCAGGTTTCTGTCAAACAGAGCACATCTATGGTATGGTCTTTGATCAAATCATTTACAAAAATAACTTTCATAGAAAGGGATCTAATATTTACTAAGCCAAGCTTCATCATTTGTTTATCTGTATTATATCTCAGATCTCAGATTTTTATCCTTAGCTGGAGACACTGGATCTCTCACATCTGTCTCATTTAAAGTTTTAGAAGAGATCTCATCAACATCACACACTGTGCTCAGGTTGTTCTCCTAAAGTAAATACTCTGGATCTCTCACATTTGTCTCCTCCAAAGTTTAAAAAATAAAATAAAATCTCACCAACATCACACACTGTGCTCAGAATTTTTTCCTTAGCTAGAGATGCTGGATCTCACAATTGTCTCTCCTTTAAAGTTTAGAAGAGATCTCAATAACATCAAATGCTGTCTTCAAAGATGCATTCCAAGGTAGGAAGGCATCAATGCATGACCAAATCCAAAGTTAGTTTCACTTCCTGTCTTCTGAGATGCCTTCATCTCTAATTGTCTTAGGACCCTGTTTAAAGGGGTGGTCTACTGGCTTTTTTTCAAAGGCTTGATTGTGTTTATGGGGTGCACTGTAACATATGTTCATGCTTCATTTTTTTCTTTTTTTTTTAAATCACATTATTTTTCATATATTTTATCTTTATTTTTCACCACTTTTCTGTTCTTCTAAAAATGGTCTGTTGACTTCCTGGTTCCTCCCTCAGGAATTTGCAATGGGCTCAGATTGGCTAGCTGGCCCAGTGTGTTGTGATTCGCTAATCAACTAGTGCACAATGTGAGGAAATGTAACGCCTCTTACCATAAGGGGCAGTTGCATGTGCTCCTGGTGTACTGTAAACATTGGCGTCAATATTGCCTTATCAATTTGAGCCCGAGTCAGACTTCAAATGTTATTGAAGAGGATCGAGCAGATCCTATGCAAGCTCGATTCTTACAGGACTTTTCAGAATGTTTTTTTTTTTGTAGTTGTCTCATATTTTTTTAAAATACATTGTTATTTGCAATGCTACGATGTGTTACGTTTGACGGCTGCAGTCGGCGGAAAATGATAGAAAAACACTGTAGTTAAAATATTTCATATTCACAGATGCAAATTTAGTACTTATGAAGTTATGTGCGTTTCTCATTTAGAACAAATTCAAGCAGGACAAATGTCAATGAGCCTGTGATTTATCATCAATTTTGATATCATCATTGTGTGATGATTTACGCTAAGCTAAGTATTTCACCATATTTTAGATTTGAAACATTTAACAGGTGTGCAGCATTATTTATATAATAAGAATCATGTTTTATATTACCTTAAATAAATGGTTGTTTGCTTTACATCGGAACATTAAAAGTGGTAGCCTAGGCTACATACATGAATCAATATGCTAAATGTCAATATTCTCACATTACTTAATATTTGTCACAAATATATTTTAAATTTATATTTTAAAATTCCTTTAATAAAACAGCATGCATTTTTGTCACGCACATAGTCCTACTTTGTTATTCATTACCTCTCCTTTATTTTGGCAGAGAACTAGGTGGGAAAAAGATATCTGCTCACAAATTAAGAAATTGTTGCGTATTTTATGAATTATTTCCTTTATTTTAGTAAAACGTGAGGCACTGTATAATTTCGCTCCCATTATTTAGGCCGAAACGAATAAATAATTCAAGAAATTAATAAATTAAGGCAGTGGCTATTTGCAATGTGTAAATAGTGATAGAGTCTATTTACCTTAATTGCAAATAGCAATAGATGCTATTTACACTAAGTGAAAATAGCATATTTTCTTACCGATAGATGCTATTTACACTAAGTGCAAACAGCGATAGAGGCTATTTACACTAAGTGCAAATAGTGATGGATGCTATTTACACTAAGTGCAGATAGCGATAGATTCTATTTCCACTATGTTAAAATGGCAGGATTTTCTGCTATTTATACTTATTGCAAATAGAGGCAATTATCTGCACCTCAGTATTATAGTACATTATAAAACAGTATGCAGTAATAACGTATTGAGTGTAAACTATAATTTGAATTCAAATTT